GCACCAACAGCAACAGCAGCACCAACAACAGCAACAGCACCAGCAGCAGCAGCATCAACAGGAACATCAACAGCAGCAGCAGCATCAACAGGAACATCAACAGCAGCAGCATCAACAGGAACATCAACAGCAGCAGCACCAACAGGAACATCAACAGCAGCATCAACAGGAACATCAACAGCAGCAGCAGCATCAACAGGAACATCAACAGCAGCAGCAGCATCAACAGGAACATCAACAGCAGCAGCAACAGGATCACCACCAACAGGAACATCAACAACAGCAGCACCAACAGGAACATCAACAACAGCAGCACCAACAGGAACATCAACAGCAGCAGCATCAACAGGAACATCAACAGCAGCAGCAGCAGCACCACCAACAGCAGCAGCATCAACAGGAACATCAACAGCAGCAGCAGCATCAACAGGAACATCAACAACAACAGCAGCATCAACAGGAACATCAACAACAACAGCTGCATCAACAGGAACATCAACAGCAACAGCATCAACAGGAACATCAACAGCAGCAGCAGCACCATCAACAGGATCAACAACAGCAGCAGCATCAACAGGAACATCAACAGCAGCAGCATCAACAGGATCAACAACAGCAGCAGCAGCATCAACAGGAACATCAACAACAGCAGCAGCACCACCACCAACAGCAGCACCACCACCAACAGCAGCAGCAGCACCATCAACAGCAGCAGCAGCACCAACAGCAGCAGCAGCACCAACAGCAGCAGCAGCACCAACAGCAGCAGCAGCAACAAGCAGCAGCAACACCAACAGCAGCAGCAGCACCAACAGCAGCAGCAGCAGCAGCAGCACCAACAGCAGCAGCAGCAGTACACTGACCTTTGCCATGTGTCAGTAACAAGTGTTACACACTATCATAACAGCAGCACCAACAGCAGCAGCAGCAGCACCAACAGCAGCAGCAGCAGCAGCACCAACAGCAGCAGCAGCACCAACAGCAGCAGCAGCACCAACAGCAGCAGCAGCAGTACATGTGTCAGTAACAAGTGTTACACATGTGTCAGTAACAAGTGTTACACATGTGTCAGTAACAAGTGTTACACATGTGTCAGTAACAAGTGTTACACATGTGTCAGTAACAAGTGTTACACATGTCAGTAACAAGTGTTACACATGTGTCAGTAACAAGTGTTACACATGTGTCAGTAACAAGTGTTACACATGTGTCAGTAACAAGTGTTACACATGTGTCAGTAACAAGTGTTACACATGTGTCAGTAACAAGTGTTACACACTATCATAACACTCACTACCACACTCATGTCTGTGTGAGCAGCTCTTGATCCCAGGAACTGAAGCTACCCACCCCTCCCCTGCAACACCTACTGGTTTACCGCTTCTTCGTCAATATATTAATACTCGGTACTAATTCAGTGTAGAAAAGCTTGTCTACCTTAGACAAGACTGTCTACCTTAGACAAGACTGTCTACCTTAGACAAGACTGTCTACCTTAGACAAGACTGTCCACCATAGACAAGATTGTCTACCTTAGACAAGATTGTCTACCTTAGACAAGATTGTCTACCTTAGACAAGATTGTCTACCTTAGACAAGACTGTCTACCTTAGACAAGACTGTCCACCATAGACAAGATTGTCTACCTTAGACAAGACTGTCTACCTTAGACAAGACTGTCCACCATAGACAAGATTGTCTACCTTAGACAAGATTGTCTACCTTAGACAAGATTGTCTACCTTAGACAAGATTGTCTACCTTAGACAAGATTGTCTACCTTAGACAAGACTGTCTACCTTAGACAAGACTGTCTACCTTAGACAAGATTGTCTACCTTAGACAAGATTGTCTACCTTAGACAAGATTGTCTACCTTAGACAAGATTGTCTACCTTAGACAAGACTGTCTACCTTAGACAAGACTGTCTACCTTAGACAAGATCGTCTACCTTAGACAAGGGGAAACAAATGCATAGGTTAAGGGGAAGCGAAGGGGGGAGAGGGAGAGGGGGGAGGGCAAGTGTGTCATGCAGCAGGTGGTGGAGGGTGAGTAGGTCACCACCTGCATGGTGCTAGAGCCGCCATGGCGGACCTCATGGCGGAAGTTCCAGTGCTGAAGGGCACAACGGTGGTGACTGGTGACCGCTGGCGGTGGTGACTGGTGACCGCTGGCGGTGGTGGTGGCGGTGGTGAAGAATTCAGTTATCGAAACAGGATGGTCTAGATATCTGTGTACCTCCACCAACGACACACTCGTCTTCAACAAGCACCACTGCTTCTAACCCCCCCCCCCACAAGCCACATCACCCTCCTCCCACTAAACCACATCACTCTTGCATCAACTCCGGGAAGTAGCCGTCAACACCATGTCTCACCAACACTACCTTCAAGAGATTCTGAAAGATACAAGACTGACCACAGAATGAGTGGGTCTCGAACCCACGGTACACTGACCTGTGAGCTGTAACACTAACCTGCCATGAGTTCGATCCCCACCCTTCTGTGATTTGTCTGAAATGTTATTACGATTTCGTGGGACATAAGACTGGCAGCACGGGCAGCCAGGATGGGTGAAGGTAACAAGTGGTCTTCCCCAAGGATCAGTGCTGGGGTTACTATTTTTCCTAACTCAAGTAAATGCTACGCCATGTGGGATTCAATCCAATGTTTTCAGATGCGAAACTGCTGAAAAAGAACAAGACAAGGAGAGGAGAGAGTCATGCGGATGGTAGGGTGGTAAAACAAGTTGTTGTTGGAGTTAAATCTAAACACTTGCAAGGTTAAATTCAGAGAAGAAAGACTGGCAGCAGAGCACAGAGCAGGAAAGACACTACAAATATAAAGAAAAGTAAGAGATGGTGGGAGTCAACATCACACCCAACATGTCGCGTATCAGCACATCAACAACAGTTATATGAAGCTAATAGCATTAGTATATGCATGGGAAAGCACTAAACCCATATGGTGCTCCAATGAAGAATATTATGTATGGAGGTAATGAGGTTAGACTGTACCTCCCGGGAAGGGTTCACAGACTTCAGGAGATAAACATGTGGGTATATGCATTACGATTGTAGACTAAAGGGAAGGAATATGGGGGACTATAAAAGGGGATGACCAACGGAGACATAATTATGACGTACCAGATACTCAAGTGATATTGTTAGGCTGGATGAAGATAGTCTACTTCAAACAGGAGAACCAAGAGCAAAAGAATATATGCAAGTTAAACTCACAGAGCCACAGGGACCTTTGTAAGTACTTATACATTCTCAGTGTGTACGGTACACAAGTGTAATGAATAAGTAGTGGTGAGGGTACGAACTTTATACACAGTTACAAGGTACCCCATACACAGTTACAAGGTACCCCATACACAGTTACAAGGTACCCCATACACAGTTACAAGGTACCTCATACACAGTTACAAGGTACCCCATACACAGTTACAAGGTACCCCATACACAGTTACAAGGTACCCCATACACAGTTACAGACCCAAACGGTAAAACCCCATACACAGTTACAAGGTACCCCATACACAGTTACAAGGTACCCCATACACAGTTACAAGGTACCCCATACACAGTTACAAGGTACCCCATACACAGTTACAAGGTACCCCATACACAGTTACAAGGTACCTCATACACAGTTACAAGGTACCCCATACACAGTTACAAGGTACCCCATACACAGTTACAAGGTACCCCATACACAGTTACAAGGTACCCCATACACAGTTACAAGGTACCCCATACACAGTTACAAGGTACCTCATACACAGTTACAAGGTACCCCATACACAGTTACAAGGTACCCCTTACACAGTTACAAGGTACCCCACAGTTACAAGGTACCTCATACACAGTTACAAGGTACCCCATACACAGTTACAAGGTACCTCATACACAGTTACAAGGTACCCCATACACAGTTACAAGGTACCTCATACACAGTTACAAGGTACCCCATACACAGTTACAAGGTACCTCATACACAGTTACAAGGTACCTCATACACAGTTACAAGGTACCCCATACACAGTTACAAGGTACCCATACACAGTTACAAGGTACCCCATACACAGTTACAAGGTACCTCATACACAGTTACAAGGTACCCCATACACAGTTACAAGGTACCCCATACACAGTTACAAGGTACCTAATACACAGTTACAAGGTACCCATACACAGTTACAAGGTACCTCATACACAGTTACAAGGTACCCATCACAGTTACAAGGTACCCCATACACAGTTACAAGGTACCCCATACACAGTTACAAGGTACCTCATACACAGTTACAAGGTACCTCATACACAGTTACAAGGTACCTCATACACAGTTACAAGGTACCCCATACACAGTTACAAGGTACCTCATACACAGTTACAAGGTACCCCATACACAGTTACAAGGTACCTCATACACAGTTACAAGCAACCCCATACACAGTTACAAGGTACCCCATACACAGTTACAAGGTACCCCATACACAGTTACAAGCAACCCATACACAGTTACAAGAGTAGGTATGATAGGACTCGAGATATCATAAACAAATAATGTCGGTGGAAGAAGTATAAGAGGCAGGGTGAGGAGGTAAGCCTCGACCCCCTTCAAATACAAGTGGGTGTGTGCAGGTGTGGTGACCAGAACTGTCAGCTTTACTTACAAGTTGCCAGCTTAGCCTCCCACATAAGCCTAGTAGTATTGTATCTTACTATCACAGTGTCGCACGCATCCTACCTCCTACATTCATTACTTATCACCATCACTATATTGCATAAATATATGATTTATATAATTTATTAATAACACTGATAAACGTAACAGCTTAGTTATCAATAGAAAGGGAATGATTATATTGATTTTAGAGTAATGGTGCGTCTAGGGGAAGGGGGTCTTCTGTCCCTCCTCCTGCGGCTGCCACACCCCGGCTGTTTTAATACACACACAGTTTGTTCATCAAAACACAAACACACACACACACTTGTAGTAAAGTGAGCGAGGGTAACACGTCTCCTTCACTATCTCTCACAACACTGTCAACAACACGTCCATGTGGCCTCCACCGCCCTAACACTCTCCCTCCTACACCTACATTGGTCACACCCACCAGCCCAGCCATTGGTCAATACATGCAATGACGTCAGCGGCGCGCGCTCATTGGTTCACCTACAGGCCATGACACAACACCAGACCCGCCATTGGTCAATACTCACAATAAAGTCAGAGGCAAGCGTTCCTGGGTTCCATTGCATAACGGTAATCGTTATCACACAGCAAGAACCACACACATCTGAGATGACACACTTCTTAATGGAGTACAACGTGAAGGAAAAATGTAAGGTAATACTCGAAATAAAAGCAAGAAAATCGACAAGTGTAGCCAGCAAAACAGACTGGAAAACATACATAAGAAAGGAGGAACACTGCAGGAGGTTTACTGGCCCATGCCAGGCGGGTCCAATTTACCCACCAGATAAAGGACGACGCCAAAAAGAATAATTAAGACTATGCAAAGATAAGAAACAGAAAAACAAATTGAAAATGACATTAGTATTGAAGGTCAGAATCAGTACCGAGTCACAGTAATATGAAACTTAAAACGATTCAAAGGCAAAGATATACACAAGTTGATAAATTGGACACACAGGCAAAATTTGGGTATCTTTATTGAGGAAACGTTTCGCCACACAGTGGCTTCATCAGTCCTATACAAAGAATGGTAAAGATCAGAAGAAATGTGAGGTAATCAGTCCCTCAAACTCCTGATCATCACCATTCTTCTTTGTATATGGACAGATGAAGCCACTGTGTGGCGAAACGTTTCCTCAATAAAGACACCCAAGTGTTGCACATGTGTCTAATATATCAAGTGTGGGCAGTGTTTCTCAGTGTATATATACTGAGAGTTTGCTTTAATTATTACAAGAATTTCAGTATTCTTGACTAATGGTGAGTAGTTTACAGGCAACCTTAATAACCTTCATGTAGTGGAGAGGCTTAATTAAAGCCACATTAACCAAGGAGCCCTGGTGGGCTGGTGGTTAACGCTCGCTTCACACGGTGAGGGCCTGGGTTCGATTCCCAGCCAGAGTAGAAACATTGGGCGTGTTTCTTTCCACCTGTTGTCTATGTTCCCCATCAGTAAAATGGGTACCTGGGTGTTAGTCGACTGGTGTGGGTCGCATCCTGGGACATTGACCTAATTTGCCCGAGATGCTCAGCATAACAAAGTGGCTTTCTATGTAGTAGTATGTCATTGTTGTCCGCTAGGACTGTAAACCATGTACATGTACTTGTAGTAAATAAAGGAGGAGAGGTAAACTGAGAAAGGCTAGGAGGGAGGAACTTGGAGAACTATACAAGGCTCAGGAAGAGTGATAACTGGCATCTCTTGTTTTGAAGACTCTTGTTATCAGAAGTCATCATTAGTCCTGGTAGTCCCGGCTCCACTCTACTGTTGCTGCTTCACTTCTACCTTACTTTTTGGTTTGATTCCCTAGCTGAGTAGTAAAATTGGCCAGTGATCATGGTGTTGTTTTCCTGTACCGCTGAATGTTTTCCATGACTCAATTAATCATGAGGAACTAAAACCCTTGAGGTTTAACGATGTTAATCACAATCTGATCAAAGGAAGAGAGGCTAGTTCCAATATTGCGAGAAGAACCCTTCACAATTGGTTTTGAAGTTACAGTATCATTGTATTGCTGCCAAGATTCCAAGTTTTGTTGCTCAGACATGAGCTAAAAAGGCACATGGCGAGTAGGCCTTAACGAGCAAAACACTGTGACATCTGGATGGGGTAGTATACTACTTTGGACACGTATTACATTATGTTGCGGTGTCGACAGATTGATAACTCATATTTGGTAGAACGACATTATGTATGTCGTAATTCTACCAATTTATTCATCTGTCGGACACCGCAACAAATGGACTTCTTACATATTGTCTGGTTCATTCTACCAACTTTATTACGTATTTACATTGTTTCGCAGTGTAGTAAAATCATGCTTCTGGTTAATGTGTTCAATCTAACTTCTTAACATCCAAGATATGTGAATCACTGTTTTCCCAATGCCGTAACCTTCTTATATTTATGAGAAAAGGCGTAGAACGACAACATTAGATAATATACAGTAACATGTCACAGTGAGAAAGAGATCTGACCATACCTTCGATTAATAACTATCATACCGGCACAGTGGACATTGAGGGGAACGCAGTGTGTCTGATAGTTGCATGTGTAGGAGATGTTGCGGGTGTTTGACTTTACACTGACTTGTGTTTGTACTATTACACACCAGCGTATCAACATGTGCCTCAACCAACAATTAACTTAACCACTGTCATCACACATGATGGTGCTCTACCCAGATATTACTTACATTCAGGCGTCATTACATATGATGCTCTCCCACAATATTAACTTACACACGTGTAACATTATGCTCTCACCAACTATTAACTTAATACGGTATCCACATGATGCTACCCAGCATATTACTTACACCTACGGTATCACACATGATGCTCTCACCAGGCATATTAACTTACACAACGGTCATACACTGATCTCTCACCAACATATTACTTACACGGTATCACACATGTGCTCTCACAGCATTATTAACTTACACCACGGTTCACACATGTGCTCTCCCAAATATTAACTTCACACGTCTCACACATGATCTTCACCCAACATATAACTTACACACGGTCATCACCATGATGCTCTCACCAACATATTAACTTACACCACGGTCATCACAATGATGCTCTCACCAAACATATTAACGGTACACCACGGTCACACACATGTATGCTCTCAAACTACATAACTTACCCACGGTAACACAATGATGACTCTCACCCACCATATTACTTACCGCACGGTCATAGGAACATGTGCTCTGCACAACATATTACTTACATACGGTATCGACAGTGATGGTTACCCAGCATTTAACTTACACACGGTCATCAACTGATGCTCTCACCCAGCTATTAACTTACACCACGGTCATCACACATGATGCTCTCACCCAGCATATTAACTTACACCACGGTCATCACACATGATGCTCTCACCCAGCATATTAACTTACACCACGGTCATCACACATGATGCTCTCACCCAGCATATTAACTTACACCACGGTCATCACACATGATGCTCTCACCCAACATATTAACTTACACCACGGTCATCACACATGATGCTCTCACCCAACATATTAACTTACACCACGGTCATCACACAGATGCTCTCACCCAACATATTAACTTACACCACGGTCATCACACATGATGCTCTCACCCAACATATTAACTTACACCACGGTCGTCACACATGATGCTCTCACCCAACATATTAACTTACACCACGGTCTCACACATGATGCTCTCACCCAACATATTAACTTACACCACGGTCATCACACATGATGCTCTCACCCAACATATTAACTTACACCACGGTCATCACACATGATGCTCTCACCCAACATATTAACTTACACCACGGTCATCACACATGATGCTCTCACCCAACATATTAACTTACACCACGGTCATCACACATGATGCTCTCACCCAAGCATATTAACTTACACCACAGTCTCACACATGATGCTCTCACCCAAGCATATTAACTTACACCACGTCATCACACATGATGCTCTCACCCAGCATATTAACTTACACCACGGTTATCACACATGATGCTCTCACCCAACATATTAACTTACACCACGGTCATCACACATGATGCTCTCACCCAACATATTAACTTACACCACGGTCGTCACACATGATGCTCTCACCCAGCATATTAACTTACACCACAGTCATCACACATGATGCTCTCACCCAGCATATTAACTTACACCACGGTCATCACACATGATGCTCTCACCCAACATATTAACTTACACCTCCACCACAATTAAATACCACACCATTTACACTCAACCTCATAAATACCAACAATATTTTTTGTTATTTGTGAAGCAAGTATATACAGACAGTACATGAGTGCCACTCATCATATGTAAGTTCATTAGACAGTACTGGACAGTGTCACATCTTGTAGTTACCTATAGACATATGGACAGTGCCACTCATCTGTAAGTTACATATAGACAGTACTGGACAGTGCTCACTCATCTTGTAAGTTACATATATACAGACAGTACTGGACAGTGCCACTCATCTTGTAAGTTACCATATAGACAGTACTGGACAGTGTCACTCATCTTGTAAGTTACCATATAGACAGTACTGGACAGTGTCACTCATCTTATAAGTTATTATATACAGTACTGGACAGTGTCACTCATCTTGTAAGTTACCATATAGACATTACTGGACAGTGTCACTCATCTTATAAGTTATTATATACAGTACTGGACAGTGTCACTCATCTTGTAAGTTACCATATAGACAGTACTGGACAGTGCGACTCATCTTATAAGTTATTATATACAGTACTGGACAGTGCCACTTATCTTGTAAGTTACCATATAGACAGTACTGGACAGTGTCACTCATCTTGTAAGTTATCATATAGACAGTACTGGACAGTGTCACTCATCTTGTAAGTTACCATATAGACATTACTGGACAGTGTCACTCATCTTATAAGTTATTATATACAGTACTGGACAGTGCCACTCATCTTGTAAGTTACCATATAGACAGTACTGGACAGTGTCACTCATCTTGTAAGTTACCATATAGACAGTACTGGACAGTGCCACTCATCTTGTAAGTTACCATATAGACAGTACTGGACAGTGCCACTCATCTTGTAAGTTACCATATAGACAGTACTGGACAGTGTCACTCATCTTGTAAGTTACCATATAGACAATACTGGACAGTGTCACTCATCTTGTAAGTTACCATATAGACAGTACTGGACAGTGTCACTCATCTTGTAAGTTACCATATAGACAGTACTGGACAGTGTCACTCATCTTGTAAGTTACCATATAGACAGTACTGGACAGTGTCACTCATCTTGTAAGTTACCATATAGACAGTACTGGACAGTGTCACTCATCTTGTAAGTTACCATATAGACAGTACTGGA